ACACAGACATTTTCTGCTACAGATTTCAGCTTGCTTCTACAGCTTGGAAACAATCTAGACACAGTCACCTGGGAAATTGACTTTTTCTTTGCTTCTGCATCATATTACTGCTCTTAGCTCTTACACTGACTTATGTGCATTGATTCAGAATTTCCAAGACGGTGTCTTTCAGCAATTTCCATGGCATTCATGAATTTTACCATTTTAGTTGTACCTTGTATTTAACTTTCTCACTAGGAGAAGAAGATGAAGGTAGTTTTATGGGAAATGTGCAATAGTTACTTTGGGTAGGGCTGAAATCCAAACAAGGTCTAATAATGCCATTGAAAAGCTTGGCTTTATTATGATAGAAATCCTAAGTGTTAAAAAATTATGCATACACATCATATGACAGAAGTCATAAATGAATACAGTAGCAGCAAATTATTATTACCAAAGCAGCATTTTGGAAAGCACTAACAGTGTTAATTGAAATTGAAGATTTAAAGTGGTAGTGATTTTCAAGACCTACATAGCTCTTCAAGGGATTACAAAGCACATACAAACGTAGCAGCCATGTGTAGGGAGTAAGAAGTTCTGCCAGTAGTTTTTATCACAGGGTGATGACAGCTTTGCCCAAGAACTATTTTGGCCAGGAGTCTGCAGTATGGATTTTTTAAAATGCGCTATTGAAATCTTCATTTGATACAAATATTCTTCAAGAGATAATATGCAACTATTTAAATATTAGTAGTAACTCCAGCACAAATATACATTGAGTTAGTAATTTTAATATTAGAATCCTGTCACTGCAGTCAGCAACATCCATATTATAAAAATATGTTATCAGAAGGGGAAAATAATTAGTTTCAATGTTTCTGTTAACAATGCAAGTATAATGTGATAAATGAAAATCTAATTATGAGATTCCTGCATGCTCCACAGAGATTCTGAATGAATTTTAACATTTATTTATTCAGGAAATTTATCTGATTACCTTCTTCTCACCTAAGGCAGTCCTCTATCTGTGTGCAATTAATAAGATACAGGGATCTTCATTTCATCTTATTAAAAAACCCATTTAATGAACAGAATTGATCCCCTTCTCAACCACCTAAAACGTTTAAGACAGATGACTAGCATTTGATGAATTCTAAAATGTACCACAATCATGAAGAAGGAGAAAAAAATAGGGATAAAAGAGATTCAAATTAAAAAAGATTATGGAGAGACTAAAATAAGTCCCTAAGTTGTAGAGTCAGCTTGCAGCGGACTGGGAAGAAAAGGAATAAATCTGTAAATACAAACATGCAGACAACTTTTTTGCATATTTGTCTTAACCTATAAAGCAGAGACAAATGCTGTCAAGAAATGTCAATCACCTTTATTTTGTTTTTTATTTGAGAAAAGCATTTCCAACTAGAAACAACACAAATATTCCTAAAGGTATTTTTACCTGTAGCAGATCATCCATTATAAATTTAATAATTTTTTAAAACTGAGCTATGAATATCAACCTAGAAATGTTTAAATAATAGTAATACAAAATACTTTGAAATCTTTATAGAACAAAACTAAGGCTCTAAACAATTTCTGTAGTCATCACCTTGATTTAACACAACTACAGAAACATGTTTTAAAATTTGTCATCTGTCCATCAGTGTATATTCAAATAAGAAAGAAAAAAGTACATAATTAAAAATATTCTACTACCTAATGGACAGAGACAGGAATTTAAACTAGCTTTTACAAAACCAAGGGTTTTTATGAATAGTGTCCATTGCAAAGTTGAAGGAACAGCATTGCTACAACACAATTTTCTTAAATACTCATTTTCTGTTTACGGCATACCTATTATGTTTCTCTTCATTATTCTACACTTCTCACTTTATCATTAAAAAACAGGAGAAGAAAAATCACCTCAAGTACGTGATGTGAACAGCAATCATCTGTAAAAGAGCACTTTTTTTTTCTCACTAAGAAAAATAAGGTTTTGTATGAATTTCCCTTGTGGTCCCAATAATTCTAGAATTTTTAAACCAGTTTCCACTGATATAGCTGAGTCCTGGAAAAAGTTATTATACTCCTTTTAGAAGAAATTTAAGGAATTTGATTTTAAAGGAAGTCAACAATCAAAGGCAAGAGATGGTTCTTGTAGCTGAAATGCTCTATTATGAGTTCACTCCATATTAGACCTCTGAGTTCACTTTAAGAAAAGAAATTATTTAAGTTTGACATTGCACCTTATAGGAAACTAGAAAATTTAACCATCAAGAAAAAACCCAGCAGAAAACCACTTCTAGTGCACTTCTAGTTTTTTGGTGTTGGTTTTTTTTTTGTTGGTGATGTTTTGGTGGGTTGGATGTTTTTTGTTTTGGCAAGGAGAAGTAACAGATTAAGTCAACAGTTTGAAAATAACACTCCAGGAGTGTTCAAAAGAAGGAAAAGCAGGAACATATTTAGCATCTGAACACTACTGTGTAGATGACAGAGTTGTTACAAATTTGCTCTGCTTATTCTAACCCTAGACAATTTCAATTGAGGTAATACAGCTTTGAAATTAGAAAAGAGTTTTAAGTCACACTACCAACAACAAGTGAAAATGTTCCCTTTGGTCATACTTTTTTAGAACATGTGTGACATCAACAAGACTTTAATCCCAAAATACCAAACAATTTAAGGTTTTTGTCACTGTCATAGGTAAATGGAACATGGATTCTCAGGCAGAAATTACAGATGTATAATGGCAAAGAGAGTAACAAAATTTACATCCTGACATCACAGTGGTCTACTGTAAGGTTGAAACAGCAGATCCTTTCTCACTACAACCCTTTCCTGAATATTATCATTTTGGTATTTTCTTGGGACTTGTAAATAGCTGTTCACAGAAAACCATCACAAACACGAGTGAAAAAAAAAAGAAAATAACTGCATTTGACTAGAAAATTGGGTATTAGTTACACTTCTGATCACAAGATTTGCCAGGGGCTTTATTTAACCACCATTCAGGCCAGTCAACATTCCACATAGTTCTGAAGCTTTCAAACATGTTTGTTTATACCGATTATAATACCAGTGGTAACTACGATGAGTCACCATGTTTTTATTAAAGTAGAACAAGCTGTTATAATCACTTAAATACAGAACTGGACAACATAGGTATTCCTTTTTCATCTTAGGGGTTTCTGGTGATGTTAGAAAACTTCTTTGTTCCATAGAACTGCCACATATGAATCCACAGTAAATACAGATTTTGCAGTCTTTCAAGTTAAGGTATTAATACCATCTCAACATGCCAGTTAGTTACTTTGCAGTTCACTTAGATGATTTGGAATGTGGGGAAAGTCATAGTCAGGTCTTGACACCTGTTATGTGATTAGAAGTGAGGTAGATTTAAAGAGAGACACCTACATTTCAAAAAACACTAGTATGGATTTTCCATGTTTCCAAGCAGAAAATAATCCACTGAGGAACAATCTACTTCTCAGAACTCCAAAACCTAATATTTATTAATTTTTTTAACATGAGGAAAGGAGAGTTTTATATAGTTTATCACTAAGAAAAAGCTGTAAAAGCACAGAAGCATAAGTGTATCAAACAAGATTCCTGTGTTTCTAATTGCAGGGGAACTTCCCTCCTCAAAATAAAGCAACAGTATCAAAATAGGACACATTATATGAGTGGGAATACAGCTGAACAGAAAAGTATTTTCTCCATGGATCTTAAGTTTAAAAATGCAGAAGAACTGCATAGTTAGTATTTTTATTAAGTAAAAGTGCAAACTCAAATTATCAAGACTGATTTTCAAGAGGAGTTTCCAGTTATATATGAAATCCCCATGTCTCAGTAAATCTTACCACAATGAAAGGTAGGAGTCTCATTAGAAAGAAACCCATGCTAACTCACATTAGCATTTTATTTTAACTCAGGAGATCAGTTTCAAACCAAGTTTCCTGGTCCTCCCTACTCAAATGGCTTTGATTTCCACATTGTAGAGTCATCATCTCAGAGTCTGCAAACTGAATTCCTTTTTGAGAACCCAACAACCCCTCCAATGTGCTCTAACCACTAAAAGGCCTACAGCACCCTTGGGCCTATTCAGCTGAACTAGACTTAATGTGAAGTCAAGCCTCTTAAACTCACTGTGGATATCAAGTCCTCTGACCCATCCCATATGCTCTAGAACTACCCCTATTGTTTCACATCATCAGTTAGAGATCACATTTTTTTCAATCCTTAGGCAATGCTGTTTCTTCAGTAGTATCACCACTGCAATTCAGGAGTTATACATAAAAATTAAAAGCTTTAATAAATTTGTGGCTATGCTTAAGTTAACAACATTTGAACTGATTACTACTTGTAATTAAAAATTATTTAGAGCAAAGAAGGTTCATCTAGTACTTCCTTTGAGGAGATGACTACTAATATTCTAAATTTACAAAATGGAAAAGGTGTTATGGAACAAAAGTAAGACTGCTTGTAAACAGGCAAAAAATCATCCATAGTTTCTTTCTCCATTGAACAGAATAGTACATTGGCATAGAAAATACATTCTACATGTGGAATATGAAAGACTTGAGAAGAGACAGTAGTAAGAAAAGAAGTATGTAGCACACATAAATGTTCATGATTACTGCTGTCTATCCAAACTTCATAGAAACTATTAATAGAAGTCATCTTACAAGACAACTACTTTCAACTCCACAAAAATCCCACAAACAGGTTCAGAGTTTGACCACTGCTACTGTACAATATAAAATCCACATTCTTGCTATGAAATGAAACATTATGTTTCCTTCTCTCTACAGGAAGTAGGAGAAATACCAAACTTTCATCTTGTTAATGCATTGATAATGGGAAAAAAATTACCACCAGAATTATGTGTAACTTCATTTAAACAAAGATTTTGTAACTCAATTTGTTCTTTGTAAGCAGAAAGTTAGTAATTTTTCCTACCTCCACTGCCTAGATATAAACACTGTTATACCTTTAGATTTTTATATGCTTTTTAAGACACTTACTGTTCTAAGAGCTGATCATATTTTCTTAAAGAATCCTTTTCAGCAATAACTGCTCTCTCTTTTTCAGCAACAGCGTTATCTCTTGCTTCTCTCAAATTTCTGGAGGAAACAAAAATTGGTATTTTAAGAATCTGTTAGAAAAAAGACTGTTTTGCTTCATTAATTACTGCTCTCTGATCCAAACTTCAATACTACCTTCTTCAACTTTCATAGAATGACAGAAGGGTCTGTCTATCTATTCACCTATTTATTACAGAGGCTTAACTTCAGGTTATTTTCATATATACCAGCAAATCTTCCAGTTCTGAAATTCTAGAAAACAATTATCAAAGCACCTACTTCTATGTGGAAACATGTAAGTCTAGACTAGTCAAAATAAAAGTTACTTATTTTTTGCAGGAATTCAATACATTCCAGTAATTTCACTTGGTACTTTGGGAATAACTGCAGGAATGCTGTTGGCCTGAGATGATCCACAATTTTTAGATAAAAAAAAGTTTAGGTAAGCATAGAAATCCTACTTCCACATACAACTAATTGTCTAATTACTCTGATATATAGGTTATTGCACATCATTGTGTCTCATTCTGGGTTCTACTGCTGAACTATTTTTGATGTGCAAAGAAACATAAAATAATATTTTATTACAACCAATACACCTTTTTTTTTTTTTTACCAAAGATCAGTCAAGATGTTCAAGCTACCTCTATTATTATTTCACCAACACAAATGGGAACAGCATGATACTAAGAATAAAACATAATATTTGTGTTTAAAAATCAGAATTTGTTATTAATAGTGTGTTATACTGTAAGCAGACTACAGATTAACACTGCAGAAGTCTGTATTGAGGGGAAGCACTGCTTAGATACTGCATATAAACTCTGTGTCCAATATTTAGTGTGACACAGCACCAGTCAATTTGCTAGAGCTAACAGTGGTTGCTGAGCATCAAATATCTGTGTTATGACTGTTCTTAAGGGTTTTACACCACTGCTGGTTTGCTTCTACGATGAACATTCACTAGCATTTGGAACATATTAGATGATCTTAAAGATTCCTTTCAATTTTATCTAAAAGGAATCTTATTCATATGCTACAAATGTGAGCAAATCCAAGCGCAGCTGCAAGGCAAGCCAAAACCATGGCTAGCAGCAATGACTAGGGGGTTTCACTTCAACACCACATACTTCATCTGAACTGTACTGCTAATGTGGATGTATCCAACATCTCCCTACTGAAGTTTTTTCTTTTCCCTCTCTCCACAGCAACTTTCTGACTTATGGCCTAATGAAATTAAAGTCTCAGGCAAGTTCTGAATAAAAGTGAAGATATAAAAGAGTTTCTTTGAATAAAAGTCAGGATATAAAAGAAATAGAAAATTATTAAGCCTATGTAATTGTTAACCTAGGTCATTGTATCACACTAAAGGTATATAATTTCTGGTTTAAAGATTATTTTCCAGAATAAATGTTATCAGTGGCACTTCTTCAATTCAAAGTAGTTCATACAAACAGGAAACAGTTACTTAGAAAAAATAAATGTCAGAATTATGTAGCAGTTAAATGGCTATTAGAGAAAGATAACATTTTCATTAAAAATTGAGTTACTAGGCACAATTGAATGCAGAGATTTTGTGCAGAAACTCAGGGACTGACTTTATGATTAGATTATTTAAATCTGTCTCATACAAAAATATGGGAGCATGGCAATAAATTTACATTTACTAGATAACAACATTAAGATCAAGCATATTATGTCATATAGTAGGACTCCAGAACTGTATCCTTAAGACCAGAGTAGTGCAAGTGGGATAAAAATTAAACAGTAAGAGATACAGATACTTACTCATTTAGAGAATAAACTTTTTCTTAGCTGAACAACTAATCAATTGAAAATGCAATAGGAAGAAAAAGGACACAACTGAGGTACTATTCAACCAACAAGACCACAGTCACAGATGTGATGCAACTTCTGTTGGAATACTCTTTTTCTAGAAAGCCAGGAGACACACCAGTGATGCTGCCAGTTGTGAGTTGTGTGACTGCCATTTCAAAGGAGGTGAAGCACCTACCCAAATGGCTGCACATTGGGGCCTTATGAGGTATCTAGCCAGCCTATCATGCAAGTGAAAGTAACCTTCTGAAATGGGACAGAAATACTATCTGGAGGATCAAAAATGGGCATGGGCAGAAAAAAAAGGTGGGATGAGGATAGGGGAGGTAGTAGCTCATGGGCACCTTCATTAGGTTTTCAAACAAAGCTCTTGGCAACTGCCATTTATTGCACTTTGTCACATCCCTAACTGTTCTAGAATGCACGGACTGGATTTGACCACATCAGAAAAGGTGCTCAGGGAAAGCATCTCACATGCTCAGCTACTAAATTGTGTTTGATCTATGGGAAAAGACTGCAGGTAATCCAGTGCCAAAACTCTTGCAGATATTCACAAGCCCTGTGAATTCACTCATGCTTGCTAATGCAAACATAACCCATGCTTACAGCAACCATACAAGTGAAACTGATGCCAAAAAAATTAAGCATGAAGGCATCACCTTTTTATCAGTGGCACCCTTTCATTTTAGTTTCTTGAACTGATTCATCCAAGCGCAAAGTAAGTGCCAATAAATTCAAAGGAACTATCAGGGACATAAGGCTTGGTGAAGTGGCAAAGAATATGAGCAACTGAATATTGGATTAGTTTAGCTGTAATACAATTCCATGCTTTGAGCAGGAGGATGAAACCAACATTTTAACTTCATTTTCAGCCAGCACTGCAAATTGTTTTGCTCACAATTTTAGGTTCCATTTGTCCTACCATTGAGGCAGACTGCCCTATGGTGGGTTTTTTTGTATTTTATAGAAAGAACATATACTAGAAAGCCTTTTTAGATTTATTTTTTTTGTCAAACATGTAGGCAAATCTAAGGATTTGCATTTCAGAAGTAATTATTTCAAAATGAGGAACAAAACTCCTGTAAACAGTTCCAGATACAAATGAAATATCTTTCAGTAGCTTTCTCAATGATATACAGACGCTTGTCAAATCTTCACAAAGAGTGCATGTTTAAATTCATACTTTGTAATTCAAAGTAGATTTGCATACAGGAAGCAGTGTGGATGTATATGTGTGTGCGTGTATTTTACTCACATTAGCAAAACTACACAATGATGTAATTGTTTTTTAATTAGAACCTTTCCACTGACTGAAAGACAGCAGAAGTCGTGTTCTTTTTCCAGTATTCCCAGCAGTAACAAAACTACCTATTAGAGGAACAGATGCTGATGCCACAAATATCTTTTTACTACTGTAATTTCCTTCTCCACATGACTTTCAGGACATCTATAGTGAAGTTAAATTATAAAGCACTCCTCTTATTTTAAAGCAATAAAACAGGCAAAAAAAAAAAGCTAAAAAAGGAATTTGGTCCCAAAGGTCCAAATCCCTAAGTCCCTAAAAGGCTTATGCATGTGCATGTAATTCTACAGTATTCAACTAGATGGCACACATACAAATTCATCATGCAAGTCTTTATGGGACTCGAGTCTTCTTCAAAAGAGAACTTTACAATAATTTACAGGAAATCGATTCTGTTTTTGAATCACAATGCTCTAAAAAAACTCCATTAGATTTATTTAATACAGGCTTAAGTCTTATTTATTTTGGTTTTTTTCTGCCTCATTTTCTGCATCAACACTTTCTCTTCTGGATTCCCAGCACAATTTCAAGACAGCCCCTAGAGAATGACAGGTGAACTGTCATGCTGTATTAATTAACTAATACCGTACATCTGAAAAAACTTCAAACAACCGAAGTTCATGTAGAATATGAATTTTAATAACCCTTTTCAAGTGATAATGTTGGTTGTCCATCATTTAATAATAAACACAACAACATACACTTACTGTACAAGTATAATTTCATTTTAATTTTTACAAGACTCCCAGTTTCATAACAGAACTTAAATTCTTACATTTTGAACACCTCTCAGAGTCAGTCAGGTAGGATTATACCTAAGCACAGAACAGTGCTTGGTCATTTCTGCCCCAATTAGGTTATTGCCTACGCCTTACCTACCTGTTTTCACGTTCATACATCTCTTTTGAGGTGCTTCTTAGTTGCTCAATTTCTTGATTTGTTTTCAACCTTATTTGTTCCAACTCTTCATGGAGTCTCTTTTCATATTCTGCTTTATAGTGGTCTCTGTAAATAAACAAATACATTGCACTAGTCAAAATATTAAAACTTCAGGTACAGCTTTACAAGAGCAGAGTTCTTGATTTTACATTTTATTTCAATCTTTATTCATTTACCTCTCAATGATACGTATCAGCCTATGGTGCTACATAAATTAAATGAAAATCAACCAGGAATAAATAAGATTTAACTGTGAATAAACAGAAGTTTTTTGCACACAGATTTAGAATTTTTAAAGTAATTTAATACTGATTAATCACATAACATTAACATTTTTCCAGAACTTCTTTGTCAGCTTCTACTCAAGTGCTTATATTAAGTAACCACTTAACTTCTCACTTTCTTCTTCATCACTGGGTAAGGATTGATTAACTCATTGACTTGCAATGCTGCCATGTCTCTACAAGACTTCTTTGTGTACTATCTGCACCTCACATGAGGGAAAAAACATTGCAAGAAACATTGAAGATTAAATGCAGTGGAGATTTGTGAAGTCAAAACCACCCAGAATTTAGGAATTTATCCTGTCAATATAACATATAAATTATTTAAACCACAAAGTTTTTAAGCAACAGATATCAGAAGATATCAGGATAAAAGAATTTAATTTCAGAGAAACATTGAGTTTTTTTGTAACTTTGGAAGCTCACAACAGGTTGTAAGGAAGCTCATAAGGAATCTCCTACAAGAACAGGGTTATGTTGTAAGCCCTTAATCATTAAGGAATGTCAAAATCTTATAGCATCTAGTTAATGTTCAAGAATAATCAATCAGCAATGAAGTAAATGGTAAAAATCACAGTTTTGGAAACAAAAGTATATTATGAAGATGTGTGCATTTACAGCTGTAAAGGGTTTCAGATTTAATTTGATTTCCAGTCATGTGATAGCCCATAATTCTTAGAAATCAGTACCTGAGCTGGTCAAAAACTCCCTCACATTAACTAAAAGCCCAGAAATATTAAAATGGAGAATGCTTGCCATCCAGGTTTTCCTTTTATTTTATTTATTTTTCCTGCTATAAAAGAAAACTTTCCAGGTTTTCTTTTTATTGAGGCACTGTATTTCAGTTGACCCTTCAAGATAAAAGTAAACTTATTTCTTCTCCTTCCTCAACTGTGCCACACTATAGCAAATACTGCACGAAGATCTTTCACACAATAAAAAAGTTGATCATAAAAAACCCAAAAAGAACATGATTTCTTAAAATACCATTTCAAAGTAAGACTTAAAATTTTATTTAAAATACAGAGGTTCTGGGTGAAGATAGTTCTGAGATATAAACATTCAAAACTATTATAAAAAACTATGAGTGACTGAACTGAAAGGAAAAATAATATTTAAAACTCTTAGGGGCTGAAGCTCCATAACTGATCATTTTAAGAATGCCCTTCTATTTTCACTTAGGTAACAATTTTGGTTTTAGTTGTCTATCAGGAGAGTCATATTAGCACACTTCCTCTTAGTTACACAGGACACAAGATTTGTGGATATACATTGAAAACAAAAAGTTTGTTTTATAATTAACTGAGTAAACCTACAAGAATAATTGCCATAAACTCCCAATGCTGAAAGCTTACTTCCACTGCTATGATCTTATAGAGGTTTAAAAAAGATGTTTGTGATACATATTATGACCCAAGAAAAGTGTTCTGCTTCTAGTTACATAAATATAGGTCAGCTTTCTGAAAAATAAGATTAATTAAATGGGATTTGTACAAGAAACAAGGGAAACAAGGGAAAACAGTTAAATAACCTGTCTACTGAGAGAAGTGAACAGACAATAACTTGCCTGGATGCAACATATTTTTCATACATTTCTTCCCTAGCTTTTTTGGCATCCTCTAGCTGAATCTGTAGTCTTTCAAGACGGTCTTCTTCATGTGCACAGCGAACACTAAGCTCCATGTTCTGGCGATTAAGATAGTCTTTATCTTTTTGCAACAAATTGAGGGATTGTTGTACAGTTGCCAGCTATAAAAGGTATTAAAAAGAACACTTTAACATGAATTTCAAGATAAGTATTTTATCTATGTACACATATTTGCAATTTAATTTTAACTCTCTCCTGTGAAATCATCTGAATCAAAAGACTATTTACACTTTAGTTTAAGGTGATGAAGTTTTAAGCTGAAAAAAAGACTTTGATAACATTACAATTTTATCAATTTTCATTATTTATTTCCAGTAGTTGGCACCTGAGAAAACAGGTGCTTTCATCTACAACAGTATCTAAATAGTGCTGAAGTACTGAGTAGCAGCAGTACTGAATAGTGCTGCATCAGAAATACTCATGGAGAATCTTGGTGCCAACCTGTCATACTGATTACAACCTCCTCAGGAACAGCAGTGAAACATTTCAGGGCACCATTTACTGCTCTATAAAGACATGGTAAAACTGATAATTCTGGGGCTAATGTAAAGTGTGATTCTTGTGGACAAGGCAATGCCAAGGGCAAAGAGGTAGTGTTCCCACAGAAGGCTGAACTGATGCCAAAGTAGGAACAAGAATATGTTAAGAACAACCACCTTTGCCATCAGATAAGCCATGTTTCCTACACCAAGAAGTAGTGTGAGAGAGTAGTCTCCATCCATTCAAGGTGAACACAGAGAACAGCCAAAGAGCATAAAAGCACTCTTGCAGGGTGGACCAACTCCATAATCATGATAACGAAACACAATTTCATCCCCTTAAAGAATGTTGCATTTAAGCTCCTGAGGATTTCACATACCAAGTTCAATAAATGATAAATGAATAACTTATCAGAAACATGTCTCCTACAGCTATAAAGACATCATGTACATGGTTTAGACATAGTCCACTTTCTCTAATACATAGAAGGACTGAAGGTTACTTAAGGAAGATACTGGAGACAGACACGGAACAAGCAGTTAAACAGATGACAGTTTATATACAAACAATGATCTTAGAGGCATGCTTCTCTCCATCACCCACTTGCTGAGCACCACACTCAGGGTGAGGTACAAATGCCTGTTCGACACTCAACTTAAGAAAGACAGGTAAACATAGCCTCTTTCCAAGTAACAAGTTATAAGTATATCCATTGTGAACAGACATCATGGACTGCTACACAAAGCAAGCAGGCAATTACTGCTCCTATGAATACTCCTCCTCTGGAACAAGTACCGTGCAAAAACTTCCAATTGGATGCTCTTCCAATCCAACACTTGATACTATATCATTATACACAAAAACCAGTACAAATCTTTCAGGAAATTTAAGTAATACACAGTTTGAAGAGATATTTTAGTTTAAAGGAGTGCTACTTTTATTCACTCTGATTAATTTAGTATAAAGTTAATGAAAAAAGCCATTCTTGCTGCTATTCTGTAGAACTTCATATGTAGGTAAAAATTTGATGTACAGGACAGTACTTTTTCAGCCATTGTTGTATGCTGAGAACAAACCTGACTTTTGGTGCTCTCTTAAAATGTTAGACAGAGGAATAAATAGACTTACAAAGCCTTCAGACTGATATCAAAGAGGTATTTTCTAACGGAAACTCAGTTTTTTCCCTAATGTCTCTGACAATCTCTACAGCTACCTGTACAATTAGGCAGACCAACGCTATCTTTAAAGTGGCAGTTTTAGCCACTATTTTATCTGTAACACTGTTATTTACACAGAGACACTAAGGAACACCATCTCCCCTGAATACTCTCAGAAGCAGTCCTCTCATTTATTTGGCTGCTGAAGTGTTAATACACAAAGATCTTCCATACTAGTTTTGCAGGGCTCTGCTTCCCCAGCTGAACCCTTGCCTGCCCATGGGAAGTGGGGAATGAATTCCTTGACTTGCTTTGCTTGTGTGTGCAGTTTTTGCTTTGCCTATTAAATTGTCTTTATCTCAACCCATGAGTTTTCTTTACTTTTACTCTTCTGATTCTCTCCCCCATCCCACAGCTGTGCGGGGCTTAGTTGCCAGCTGGGGTTAAACCATATCAAGCATACTCACAGCATTCATCTTCCAGTGATAAATTTTCCCCTGGGGCCTCCCAGGTTCCTGAGCTTATTGGTAGAGTTCAGTCTGTCTTTGCTTCAGCCTTCTAGGTCACACACCTAGCAAAATAGCATGCATGTAATGCCTAGGAAAAAATGGGAAGCACTTGACAAGTGTTGCGGGAGATAGCCTATGCTGCTGTGAGGATGACCAGCCATCTGAAGGATCATAGCAAGTGATCAAGGCTTCTGATAATCAGAACCCTCCTTCAAGGAGGAGAACTCAGTTGGGTTGGTAAACCTAATCTCAGTCCCTGCAAGGATTATGAAGTAAATTCCCCTGGAAGATATCCCCATGCATACAAACAAGAAGGTGATGAAAAAACAAGCAGTAATTTACCAAGGCCAAACCTAGCAAACCTGACAAAAATGTTAGCTCTGTGGATAGGGATGGGAATGGACACTGTCCATGTCATTTACTTGACCTTTTGCATTGCTTTCAGCCACCCCTTGTAACACCTCTATGGAAAAAC